GGTATCACGCCAGCGATGAAGCTGCCGTAGCGGCTCTGGGCGCCGGCAAAGAGGCGGTCCTCATTCGTTTCTGTGGGGCCGGCCGTAAACGTCACATGAAACGTGACGCTCCTTGAATCCCTACGTGTTGCAAAGGGGCGTCAAATGGGGAGCGTTACACGATATTCAAGGTGCACGCGAGCGGCGATGAACGTGACGGAAGACATCTGTGCTTAACAGGCAGCGGCCAAATATGCGCGCCGGAGCTGATAGATGCATCTATTTCGCACGGTGAGAGGCGGAGCGTAAGTACCTTACTGGTGTGAACACGCTCTTTGCATGTAGCAGCTCGCTTACATGGCGACGGCGGGAGGGCCGACCGTCGATGTGCTGCTCTGGGACGCAGCCGTGTCCAGCCTCTGACGCTTGGCGTCCGGTGGGTCGATACTACTGCGGGAGTTGGTCGAAGGTGTAGAAAGTCAGGAGATGGGATCGGATAAGGTTCGCATAACGCATAACAAGGTGTCGCATATGTTCGCATAACGCATAACGCATAACGCAAAACACGGGACGCAGCAACGCAAAGGATGCGAACAGCGTATTTACGCACTAGAGCAACGCAAACCGACCTGCTGGTCACCAGGGTGCGACATCGCAGATTGTAGGACGATGTAGGCTCTAGGCGTTGTCGCTTGGGGTCCGGCGAATCCATCCGGCTGCGAGCGTATGTCTGAAAACAGGTATGTCTGAAAACGGTGGAGGCACTTGGAGTAAGCAGGCTTGCAAAGAGGTAAGTGCAGGATAAGTGGGGAGGAATCGGCGCGCTAACAATTATACATCCGCGGCAGCGTGTCGTATAGATGACAGATGTCCGAGGATCGGCAGACGCGGACATTGGATGCGCACGCGCCGCGGCTGCGAGCCTGGTCCAGCTGCCAGGTCGCGTGATTGCGGTGGCCTTGAACGACTCCGAAACAGGAGTAGAGTTATACAGTGAACACAGGCGTGGTCAGGCGATAATGCGGATTGGTGCCAATTCGCGTGATTGTGGCCGCGTCTAGCGAAACCGAAGCTCAACGTCGGACGCAGAACGTCGCCAACTCGCGTGATTGCGGTGACCTTTAACGACTCCGAAACAGGAGTAGAGTTATACAGCAAAGACAGACGTGCTTAGGTGATGATGCGGATTGCTGCCAATTCGCGTGATTGCGGCCGGGTCCAGTGAAACCGAAGCAGAAACGGAAGCCGGTAAAGACGCGGATAGCTGAGATTTCGCGGTAATAAAAGGATGTATACGCACGAGGTCGCCGCAGCGAATATGTAACGGGTGCGGTGCGGTGCGGTGTGTGTGCGGTGTGGGCGCGGTGCGGCGCGGTGCAGACTAGACGGTGCGGAGCGGTCCCGAACGAAAAATAGAAGAAAAAAACGTGCGGGCGCCGGGCGAGGAAGCCAGCGAGCCGCAACGTAAACGTAAAAAAAAGGACACATCGACGCGCCGGCGCTGGGGTCGAACCGGCGACCGCGGCTCCCACTAGACATCGGAGCTAGCGTGCCCGACGAAGCGGCGCGCGGCCATGCTCCGGGGCGCCTTCCGCGGGGGCAGGTGTGGTGCGGCGCGGCGCGGGGCGCCAAACCGAACGAAGGAAGAATACGAAAAAAGGACACATCGACGCGACGGCGGGACGCGAACCGACGGCCGCGGCTCCCACGCGGCGACGGAGCTAGCCTAAAAGGCGCGGCTCCGAAACCGCGGACGACACGACTAAAAACGCGAAAACAGCAAGCGGCCACCCGGACGGACGGACGGACAGACAGAAAGTTGGGGTAAGGTCTCCGTCCCGACGACGGAACGACTAAACGTCGTCCGTCTAACGTCGGGACTACGACTACGGACGCCCCCCGCAGCCTAAGGTCTCCGTCCCGACGACGGAACGACTAAACGTCGTCCGTCTAACGTCGGGACTACGACGAAAAACGCGAAAACAGCAGAGCGGCCACCCGGACGGACGGACAGACGGAAAGTTGGGGTAAGGTCTCCGTCCCGACGACGGAACGACTAAACGTCGTCCGTCTAACGTCGGGACTACGACTAAAACGCAAAGCTCCGGAACCATCCAATCGAGCGCGACTTTCCAATGAGCTCCGGACGCGAGCCGGTCACGGACGCGATTCAGAGATGCCTTCCCTCCGCTTCGCTCTTCGCTGCGCTACGAGAAGCTACGGTGACACACGCACCCCCGACGATTGGGCCAAATACGTATACACCACATCTACAGCCAACGCATGCCCGCCTCATTAGCTCTTTATTTTTCCCGGGCATGTGGCCAGGAAGTGTATATCTGTGTGACCATACATATCTGTGTGACCATACACATCTGTGTGACCATGCATATCTGTGTGACCATACATACCTGCTTGCCGATAGCGTGACGTGACGCGCAATCTGTGGTGGTGTAAGGGGACTTCAACAAGTATGAATGTAAATGCCTGGCTGATTATAATCACTCGCCTGGCTGATTCCTTGTGGCTTGTGGCTTTTGGGTGGTGGGTGCTATCCTTACGCAGCCTTGGCTTGAACGAAAGCACATGTACGAGAGGGATGCAGCACAATGATTCTGATGGCAACGTTTCGCTGGCTGCTGATGCAGCAGCCGCTAGCATGGCCACGACAACAATGAACTGGGGGCTGGTCCAGGCATGTGCAGCGGCGGCAGCACTGGTGGCAATAAAATTCACCCCTGTTAGGCCCGGATGTCGGCACCCACTTGCATCTCACTGGCCACTAGTCGGTCGCTTCACGTTGCACCTGGCAGCAGTCTTGGATATTGGCACGTCAATGCGGTTGTGATTGGCTGCTTGCTGCGTGCATGTATTTGGTTATGTACGTGTCCTGTTAGGCTCTGGTTTAGGTGGAGGCAACCGTTCCCCTGTCGGCTACATGTGCTACATATTTGTAGTGTTCGTCGCGCTGTGTCTTTTAGAAAATGCAGATCCTGCATGCACGAGTGCCATCCATGGTCACAGCCAACAACCAAAACCTCACCGATCTACTCAACCGATGCTAGTCGTTGAATAGCTGCTTTTTGCGGTGATAGCTAGTGTTTCTAGGGTTTTTAGGGTCCTTGAAACCCTAAACGCCTAGAAAAGGCTACACACGGCTGACTGCAGCATTTCGTGCATTACGAGTACGTGTCCAACGGCAGGGACCAGCAACAGGCACAAGCAAGGGATGAATAATTCCATGCTGCCGCCTTCGTGTTGCTGCTGTGCTGTCCCGGCATGCATGTTCTGGCTAGCTACGACCAAATACCCCATGTACACATGCACCAACGTGTACACGTACACACACATACATACACGCACACGTACACACCAGGATGGATCATGTTATGGAAAAGCCAGAGCGGATATGTCCCGCGCAAGAGCGATGTGCTGCTCATGTCGAGTTTTGATCTCGAGACCTCCCGCTTACTAAACGGGTGCTCTTCCACTGAGCAACACGAGCGGTTGTGGGTGGAGGGTTC